TAATGGTACAAGTTAGATAATATAGTAGGACTGGTAACACCACTTATTATTAAGGTTGCCCAACACTTCTCATCATTAGACACCATTTTCAGGTGCTTATAACTTTGCCAAACTTTAATTACCATATTTATTTGCATACCACACATACCCTTTCCCTGAAAATTAGCCAACCCAAATTGGGATGCATGTCTTAAGCATGCCTTCAGAATGGAGGCAAGTGAATGCTGGAATGTTGGCAGAGACTATTCTGCACTGACTCAGAGTACACCTGGGGCTGACCCTTCCAACCATGTGGCGCAAGGGTGGAGTTCTGCCATCAGTGCCACTCCTCCCCCTGCTGCAGGGCCAACAGCTACAGATTTAACCCTTTTGCAGACACTGCTAAATTTGTAGTAGCTGTTGACTGAGCTGCAGGGGGAAGAAAAATGGTGGTGACAGGAGCCTGATCTGTGGTATGTGAATAAAATAGATCATTATTCAGACTGAAATTTTCTGTGCCAGGTCTCTCTTCTGGCTGTTCTTGGAAAATTTCATCCAAAGTGGTTCATCCATTTCTAAGAGCTGGTCTAAGGGAAAATATTTTGTTTTGCCTATGTTAGAAACATTTTCTACAATTTTGGTTTTGAAAGCATAACTTGGAATTTGGTAGGTGGATAGCTTTTGTTTCAGGGATGTGCCTTTTGCTGTTTGAAAATTTGCCCATATTTCACTAAGTTATAAGCCCATGTCAAAAAATCAAAATTCAAAAGTTCTCAATAGCAGTGTCTTAAATGTTGATACTTTAATTTCCTAAAGGATTCTGTACACATTGGGCATGCTGTAGGGTTTGAAGAGACTGCAAGTGTTATCTGGTTGAGCTCTCTGCACAAATCCAAGATTTTCTACTCTGAAACTAGGCTGAGCCTATCTTCCCTTGCAATTGCAGTTCTGGGAGTAGCAAAGTTAGTGGTAAAAGATTGGAGCATACAGAAGATGACAGACTGCTATTGCTGTCAGAAGCTCCATTAGTTCAAGTGGCAGAGGTCTGTGTACACAATCTAAAGTTTCCAACTCTGTTGATGAACCAAGTGTATTTCTGTATGTTGCTATATAATGGAACTTCCATGTGTTTTTCCAGTTTCATTTTTTTAAAGCTAGGAAATAATGCAGGGAAAGCTATGTTAAAAGTACATTACAGTAGAGCACTGGCTTTGCTGTAGTAAAAGTTGAGCAGTGTTTTCTGTTTAAAGGTCAGCTCTGTCAAGAATGCTTTTAAAACTGCTTTCTTATTTGAACTGCCTTAAGGCACCCTGCACCTCATGGAAATAGTGAAAAGTATTAGTTTTCCAAATCTGAGGTAATCTGAATGAGAGATCTGACTAAATGGAATTTTATACAAACAGTTGGTACTTACAATGAAGAATTTAATGGCCAACACCTTTGGTCTCCAAAGGAAGTGCAGAGATGCATCAGAGTAATAGTGCTTAGAGCAAAGTGAGGTCTTCTCTCCTGTTTCAGAAAGCAGTTATGCTCTGGGATACCACAACTTGTTTTCTGTGGTAAGCCTTCTGTGGTAAAACTACATTCAGAACAGTCAGGCACTTAACATGCACTTCTTGTTTAAATCCTGAGGGGAAGACCAAAGACTGCATCCTCTAGGCAAGGCCTTAGCATAGATCTGTTTGCAAGTGTCAGGCTTTCTGTTCTATGGGAGATCTGTGCCCAGAACAACTATCTGCCATCTTGATTTTGTTGGGACAGGTTACTATATGCCTAACTATATGCCACTCCGAGATAGTAAAATGGGTTAGCAAGCAGCATATGCATGGATCCTAGCAGATCGTACAGCCCGCACGGAAGCCCCCTGCATTTAGATTGCTGTTGGAACCTATACTAACCAAATTGAAGCTAATGCAGGTGTGGCTGCACATACTAAAGTTACACCTTCCGTTGAGATGTAAACACACTAGGTATTTGAGTCGTATGCATTTTGTGATGATGAAAGGACTTACTTAGCTAAAACATATTTAATTACTACCTGTGTCAGTGGCTTGCATAATAGCTTATTCAGTCTTTTCTAAATTTGTAGCCATAAAATGACTGGTAAGTTCCAGTCCTTGAGAATGATTCACTCTCTTTTTTTCATATTTGGGATTTGGAGTAAATGCAGACTCAGTAAAACAAGAATTGTTTCAATTAAAGATGTGAAAAAAATTATATTTAAAATTTTAATTTTTCTTTTTCCTTGTTTCCAGGCTAAGACCCATGTCCTTGATATAGAACAGCGGCTGCAAGGTGTGATTAAGACTAGAAACAGGATAAAAGGATTGCCCTTGTCTATTGAAGGACACGTCCACTACCTTATACAAGAAGCAAGTGATGAGAATCTGCTCTGCCAGATGTACATGGGCTGGGCTCCGTACATGTGAAATATTGCTATTCACAACTGATACTGATTTTTTTAAACAAACTGTTGAATTTGTTTAATCACTCTATTTTTTTTACCTTTGTTGAATACTGACTTGGAACATAGGCTTATGTTGCAACTTAATGTGAAGTCTAAGGAATTATATATATACATATGTTTGTTGTAGTATGTGGGGTGTGTATTCTGTATACATAGAAATGCATCTATTGCATGGTATAAGTTTGAACATGTATACAAACTTGTATTACATAGGCACATACATTTTGTTTTATGTATACAGAGTACAGCACTCTTTTACTATTAAATAGAAAGTACAGTTGTCCTTGTGATGTATGTGCCTTTTATATATACTCAGAATGTGCAAAGTTACAACCTATTCTGTTATAGAAGTAAATTATATTTTATAAAATATATTACACATTTTCAGAGAATTTACTTTTCTCTATTTCAAGGAGATAAGTGTGACCATAAGAATGCCCATACATCCTAGTATAAAATGAATTGCATTACAGCTTGAATGTAGTAGTGGACCTGTGAACTGCAGCTGTGTCTATAAGAGGGGCTTTCCAAATCTAAAAAAATGTTTTCAAAATATACGTTTTCAGGTTTTAACAAAGCTTTGCTGTGGCCAGTAAAACATGTTAAGTGGCTGCGTCAGATGACCTGTCTGATCTGCCTGTTGGTGGGGTAATCTGGATGTGGAGGGATAAATATCCCTACCCCAGTGCAGAGAATCTGCCAGAATATTGACACAGTACACAAAAATAGGTCTGGAGAAATCCTCAAGATAATCTAATACAAACCTTGTCTAACCTGCATTTGAATTTCCATCACAGGAAGTTTCTCACAGCCTCTAGTTAATCTGTGCCCATGCTTCTTCCTAATACCCTAACATGTATCTTCTTTGTTGAAATTTAAGCCCATGCTATATATATAGCATTGGGGGGGGGACCCCCAGTGGCCAGTTGCTGAGCAAGCCAGCAGCACGGCAGTGGCGGAAGTGCTGCCAGCGAAGCCAATTTCGGGGTGGGGGGGGGAGAACTAGCACCCTTTGTGCCCCCCTACCAGCCAAAGTGCTCACTGTCAGGCAGGACACCAGTGGTGTCGGGGGGCACATGCCTATGATATATCGTGCACAACTTTTGTCATTATTATCCTGACAAACTAGACTAGAGGTTTCTTTAAATTGAGAAGACCTTAAAATGGATGCTGAAGTAGCTTGCTCCTTGGAGGTGGTGGTGTGGGGGGGAGCAGGCTTGGGATGCTGCAAGGGGGGTGAGGCCAGCCCCCACTGCTCTGTTCCCTCCAGGCAGCAAATATGGAAGCAGGCTGCTGGCCTCTCCCTTTCTATCCCACACTGCTCCCTCCTGACATGGGCTGACATGGGAGGGGAGGAGCAGGCCTAGAGGCCCTGGAGAAGCTGGCAGGGGATGGGGAGCAGCAGACCCAGGGTGATGCAGGGGGCTGGGAGGAGTGGGTCTGGCCCTGAAATGGCAGCAGGAAGTTGGGGGCACACCGGGCCTGGCTCAGTCCTGAAACAGTGGGTGGGTGGGCCCAGTGGCAACCCAACAGCAGCAGGGAGGTGGGGGGGGCAGGCTGGCCCCAAAATGGAGGGTATGGGGGGTGTACCTGGCCCAGCAACAGTGGTAGGAAGGTGGGGAGAGGGTTGGACCCAGCTCCGC